ACACTTCATCAGAGGCTGCACTGAGGATGTTACCAAGCACGGTAACGAAACGTCTGCGGAACAACAAACCAGCTCGGCGAACCAACCAACCATTGTGTAAGGGTATTCGTTCACTGGAGCTATCTTCTAATGATGTCATGGAGCTGCACATCACCTGAACATACATAGCTATATGTGGGTGGAGTTAGAACCTGAGAACCTCAGACAGTCTAAAAGTCCGCACCAGACCCAGACCCAGACCACAGCATAGACATAGGCATAACAGTCATAAAGTCATATGAACACTTGAAGATTTTAGATTCATCCTTAACTACTGTAACTATTAGATCATAGCCTGATATATCTATGATTGTCATGTACAGCGATATTTACTCTTAATGTATGATAAATAATGTTATTTTAAAGTCTAAGCATGAAGACTACCATGCCTTTGCCTTCTCCTCAACCCAAACTCATAGTGCACTACCAAATGACGCAATTGAAGATGCCCTTACTTCGGACAATTCCTGACTGGTAATGTATGTGCCCCACTTCCATCTACCTCTAAAATACACATTGTGTCAGTATCTGATCTGACGGATGCAAATCTGAGATCAAGAAATGATGTTCATCATTGACAATTTCTTTACGTGCAGTGATTGCCATAGTCCTCTGCTCTCCCTATCTTCACAGTGTTTGTCAGGAGGACCTCCTCCTCTACCTCCTCCTGTGGATAAGGAACTTCTTCCCATCCACCTCCTGTAGCAAGGCTCATGTCCTGCATCTAAGAACTCAGAGCAGGGTCTTTTTGTTCAACTATTATGTTGACCAGGCAGACTTCCCATTCAACTTTCAGCATCAGCTGCATTGATAAAAATCACAGGCTAGTTTGAATTGTGCTTTGGGCAGCCCCCACCCCAGCAAGTTGCACAGTGAATGGATGAGGTCCTGTGGAGTGAGTACAGGGAGTTAGGAAAGAGGCTGAAAAGCAGGACCTCAAGTATAGTAAGGTTTGGGTTACTACCAGTGCCAATTGCCAGTGAGGCTAGTAGTAGAAAGATAGGACTGATGAATGCATGGCTAAGTAGTTGGTACAGGGGGCAGGGTTTCAGTTTTTTGGATGGTTGGGACCACTTCTGAGGCAGGGGTGACCTGTACAAGAGGAGGAGGAGTTGCATTACTAATCAGGGAGAATGTCACATCTGCACTCAAAGAGGACATACTGTATGGCTCATCCACTGATGGAATATGGTAGAACTCAAAAATAAGATGGGGGCAAACACTCTGATAGGATTGTATGATAGGCCCCCACCAACAGCCACTAGGACATTGAGGAACAAATATGTAGGCAGCTTATGGAAAAATGCAATAACAACAAGGTTTTCATAGTGGGTAACTTTAAATTTCCCAATATTGACTGTAATTCTCTTAGAGCAAGAGCCTGAGCTAGGGCAGAATTTGTTAAGTACATCCAAGAGGGTTTCTTGAAACAGTATATGGATAGTCCAACTACAGGAGGGTCATACTGGACATTGTATTAGCTAATGAGTGGGCCAGGTGGCTGACCTTTCAGTGAGAGAGCATTTTGGAGACAGTGATTGCAACTCCTTAAGTTTTAAGATAGCTACGAATAAGGATAAATCAGGACCTTGGCGGAAGGTACTAAATTGGGGGAGGGAAAATTACATCAGTATTAGGCAGGAGTTAGGGTGTATTAACTAGAGGAGCTGTTATCGGGCAAGTCCACATTTGACATGTGGGAGTTCTTTAAAGATCTCCTGATCCGAGTTCAGGACTGGCACGTTCCAGTAAAGAAGAAGGAAAAGGATGGCAAGGTAGGGGACCCTTGGATAATGAGGGAGGTTGTGGATTTAGTGAAAAGGGAAAAAGGGGAATATGTAGGATTTAGGAAGCTAAAATCGGATAGGGCCTGTGAGGAACATAACAAAAGCAGGAAAGAACTCAAGCCGGGAATTAGGAGAGCAAGAGGGACTGTGAATTACCTTGACAAATAGGAATAAAGAGAATCCCAAGGCATTCTACACATACATTAAAAACAAGTGGATAACTAGGGAGAAGGTAGGACCACTCAAGGATAAGGGAGGTAACTTGTACTTGGAGGCAGAGGATGTGTGCAAGATTCTAAATGAGTACTTTGTGTTGGTATTCACCTAGGAGAAGGAAATGGAGAATAGTGAGTTCAGTGTGGAGCATGCGAATATGCTAGGGCATTTTCAGATGAGGAAAGAAGTAGTGTTGGATCTCTTGAAAAGCATTAAGTTAAGACCCCAGGGTCCAATGGTATCTACCCTAGGTTATTGAGAGAGTCAAGACAGGAGATTGTTGGGGCCTTGACAAGATCTTCGTATCCTCGCTAGCCACTGGAGAGGTCCTGGAGGACTGGTGAGTGGCTAATGTTGTTTCTCTGTTCAAGAAGGGAAGTAGGGATAATTCAAGAAACTATAGACTGGTGAGTTTCATATTGATGGTTGGGAAACTATTGGAGAGAATTCTTACGGACAGGATTTACACACATTTGAAAAAGCAGTCAATTAGGGAGAGTCAGTGTGGCATTATACAGGGCAGGTTGTGTCTTACTAACTTGATTGAACTTTTCGAGCTGACAAAGGTGATCGATGAGGGGAGTGCAGTGGATGTTGTTGACATGGATATTAGTAATGCTTTCAACAAATTCCCTCACAGAAGGCTCAGCTAGAAGATTAAGATGCATGGTATCCATGGTGACTTGGCTGCTTGGATTGAGAATTAGTTTGCCTATAGAAGGATAATTTTTGCCTGGAGGTCCATGACTGCTGGTGTTCTGCAGGATTCCATCCTGTGACATCTGCTTTTTGTGGTATATGTAAATGACATCAATGAAATGTATATGGTGGATGAATAAGTTTGCAGATGATACGAAGATCGGTGGACTTGTGGAGAGTGTAGAAGGTTGTCAAAAGATACAGTGAGATATAGATCAGTTGCAGATGTGAGCAGATAAATGGCAGATGGAATTTAATGTGGGTAAGTGTGAGGTGTTGCACTTTGGGACATTGAACATTAAGGAAACATAGACAGTTAATGGCAGGACTCTGAACAGCATTGATGTACAGAGGGATCTTGGGATCCATAGCTCCCTGAAAGTGGCCACGCAAGTAGATAGGGTGGTAAAGAAGGCATATGGCATGCTTGCCTTTGTTAGTCAGCGAATTGAGTACAAGAGTCAGGATGTCATGTTGCAGCTTTATAAGATTTTAGTTCAGCCAGACTTGGAGGATTGTGTTCATTTCTGGTTATCGCATTACAGCAAGAATGTGGAGAGTTTGGAGAGGGTGCAGAAGAGGTTTACCAGAATGCTGCCTGGATTAGAAGGTATGGGCTTTAAGGAGAGGCTTGAAAAATTTGGGTTGTTTTCTCTGGAGAGGTGGAGGCTGAGGATAGGCTTGATAGAACAGAACATAGAACTGTACAGCACAGTACAGGCCCTTCGGCCCACGATGTTGTGCCAAACTTTTACCCTAAACCTAAGGTCTATCTAACCTCCACCCCTCCCGTATACTATCATCCATATGCCTATCTAATAGCCTCTCAAATGCCCCTAATGAGGCCAACTCCACTACCCTCTCCGGCAATGCATTCCACGCCCCGACCACTCTCTGAGTAAAGAACCTACCTCTGACATCTCCCCTATATCTACCTCCACTCACTTGAAAACTATGCACCCTTGTAATAGCTACCTCTGCCCGAGGAAAAAAGTCTCTGGCTATCCACTCTATCTATACCTCTGATCATTTTGTACACCTCTATCAAGACACCGTTCTCCTTCGTCGTTCTAAAGAGAAAAGCCCTAGCTCTCTCAACCTTTCCTCGTAAGACCTTCCCTCCATTTCAGGCAACATCCTGGTAAATCTCCTCTGCACTTTTTCCAACGCTTCCACATCTTTCCTGTAATGAGGCGACCAGAACTGGACACACTACTCCAGATGTGGCCGAACCAGGGTTTTGTATAGCTGGAGCATAACTTCACAGCTCTTGAACTCAATCCCTCTATTAATGAAAGCTAACACACCATAAGTCTGTAAATTTATGAAATGCATAGATAGGGTTGGCAGTCAAAATCCTTTTCCCAGGGTTGAAGTATCCATTACTAGGGGGCATGTATTTAAGGTGAGGGGGGGAAAGTTCAAACGAGATGGCAGGGGAAAGTCTTTTTACACAGAGAGTGGAAGGAGTCTGGAATGTGCTGCTGGGTTGATGGTGGTGGCAGCTCTGATAGGGGCGTTTAAGGGACTTTTAGATAAGCACATGAATATGCAAGGAATGGAGGGATATAGACCAAGGGCAGGCAGAAGGGATTAGTTTAATTTGGTGTCATGTTCGGCTCAACATCGTGGGCTTAAGGGCCTTGTCTTGTACTGCGTACTGTTCTACAGTCTATATCACAGCAGATAAAACCATAACATGTGACCTGACACACCTCTCTCAAAAAAGTAACACGTCAGTTATTTTGAAAATCATTTCGGAAAAGATGTAAAGCTTGTGACAGAAAACTGGTATAACAAGTTTAGTTTATGCATTTCTTAGGGCTAGCTTCCGAAGATTAAATAGTCAGTGGAATGTAACGATAGAGGAGACAACTGTGCGGCTTCGTGTCAGTTCTATTGGATGCGCTGACTTATCTCTGTTTTCTTATCTCGTGGAGCTTTTGATTTAATTTATCTCCTGAAAAGGTAATCACTGTTTGTCTGCTCCCTGATACTGCCCTGGGTGAATTTTGCATTTCACCACTCATTTCACAAAGCTTCGAGACTGCTGATTGGCCGCTCCAAATCAGCCAGTTCTAGATCGAAGGTAAAGTCCAATGTTTGTCCTGCTTTGTTATATTTAGAACTGTTTCTGCTGACTGCTTTGACTTGGCTAAAGGAGATCTGAAAACAAGACTGACAGAACATTGCTGAATAATTGTCTTTCTTGTAAAAACAGCACCAACCATTTGCAGTTGAGCAATGAACACAGAAGAAGGGGAGGCAAGAGACACAAATTATATAAACTTGGATGAATTTCACATTTCCAAAGAGTTGGGATTTGTTTTACCGAATCCATTGGTATGTATTTGTTTTGTGACTGGTTTCAGGTATGAACCGAAATTTTCTGCTCCACTTCAATCTGTTGGTGAACTTGTGCAGGCTTGCAGTGCACAATAGAAACAAATTTTTGAAAGAAGTACATGGAGGCTTTTCTTCCAGAAATCCAGCAAGCATGAAAACAGGGAACATTGATGATATTCTTTCGTTGCATATTTCGAGAGTGTTTTTAATTCCTATCCATTGCATTAATCTGCAGCTGAATTTAGAGACAGGTGTATCACATTGAGAACCAACCATCAGTGCCACAAAAAAAAAAGCAGATTTCCAGTATCCATGTGTGCAGGATGTATGTCCACCTGCAGCAACTGCTTCATCACATCTCAGAGCTGCAGCGGCAGGTGGACTAATTGTGGGGCATCAGTTGAGATTATAATGGACAGAACATTCAATGAAGTGGTCTCATTGCAGATAAAGACTGAAAAGACAGAAATTAAATGGGTCACCATCAGGAGAACAGAGGAAGGCAGGTAGTTCAGGGGTCTACTGTGGCTGTCCTCCTCTATAACAGATATGTTTTGGATACAGTTAAGGCTGGTCAGGGGCGGGGGCGATCTTCTCAGGGAATAACAATGGAAACCAAGTTCTTGGCACCGTCAGTGACTCTGGTGTACAAGATGGGAGGAAGAAGAATGGCAAGGCTATCATGATGGGTGATTAAATAGTAGAGGGAACAGATAACAAGGTGTAGAGCTCGATGAACTCAGCAGACCAAGCAGCATCAGAGGAGCAGGAAGGCGGACGTTTCGGGTCTAGACCCTTCTTCAGAAATGGAGGAGGGGAAGGGGGTTCTGAAATAAATAGGGAGAGAGGGGGAGGTGGATAGAAGATGGATAGAGGAGAAGATAGGTGGAGAGGAGACAGACAGGTCAAAGAAGCTGGGATGGAGTCAGTAAAGGTGAGTGTAGGTGGGGAGGTAGGGAGGAGATAGGTCAGTCCAGGGAGGATGGACAGGTCAAGGGGGCGGGATGAGGCTATTAGGTAGGAGATGGGGGTGGGGCTTGAGATGGGAGGAGGGGATAGGTGGGAGGAAGGACAGATTAGGGAGGCAGGGACGAGCTGGGCTGGTTTTGGGATGCGGTAGGGGGAGGGGAGATTTTGAAGCTTGTGAAGTCCACATTGATACCATTAGGCTGCAGGGTTCCCAAGCAGAATATGAGTTGCTGTTCCTGCAACCTTCGGGTGGCATCGTTGCGGCACTGCAGGAGGCCCAGGATGGACATGTCGTCTGAGGAATGGGAGGGGGAGTTGAAATGGTTCGCGACTGGGAGGTGCAGTTGTTTAGTGCGAACTGAGCGTATGTGTTCTGCAAAGCGGTCCCCAAGCCTCTGCTTGGTTTCCCCGATGTAGAGGAGGCCACAACGGGAACAGCGGATACAGTATACCACATTAGCAGATGTGCAGGTGAACATCTGCTTGATGTGGAAAGTCTTCTTGGGGCTTGGGATGGGGGTGAGGGAGGAGGTATGGGGGCAGGTGTAGTACTTCCTGCGGTTGCAGGGAAAAGTGCCGGGTGTAGTGGGGCTGGAGGGGAGTGTGGAGCGGACAAGGGAGTCCCGGAGAGAGTGGTCCCTCCGGAAAGCAGATAAGGGTGGGGAGGGAAAATTGTCTTTGGTGGTGGGGTCGGATTCAGATGGCTGGATGAGTGAATCACCAACAACACTCAAGAAGCTTGTCTCCGTCCACAACAAGCCAGTGATGTCCACATTCTATGAAAGAAAAATAAAATCTTGAGGAAACTTTAATTAAACAATATTTCAGATGAGGCCCAACTTCAAATATGTGTTTTTCCCCTCTCTATGAGATCAACTTGGAAGGTGCTATTTTAAATAAATCATGTGTACTAAACTCCAGTAATACACATTTCAGCTGACAATACTTGACAATTTATGGCATTGTGGATTGGTAATATTTCACACTATTTGGCCTGTTAAGTTCATGCCGACTCTTGCCACAGCAATTTAGCTTGTCACAATCCATTTAAACCAGCTTTTTTTTCCGTTCAGGAGCTTATCCAGCTTCCTTTTCAAGGCTACAATTATTCCTGCCAGTAATCTCCTTTGTTCAGACGCTTCATGATTTTAATCACTTCTGGCAAGTCTCTTCTATTTTCTATTCTTGAACAATCTCAAAATCTATCCACCTAATTCATCAGGACCATTATCCTAACTAAACTACTCAAAGAAAAAAAACTTGAAACTAGAATGTGTCACATATTCAGAACCAAAGTAACATCCAAATGGAGCCTTCACAGCATTTCAGCTCATGTTTTTCCTCCAGTGTAAGAATGTAAATAACTTAGGAATTTCATGAACTGGGATATTACTTGTGTTAACTTAGATTTGGAAAAGAACTATTAATCCCTCTCAGGAACATTAGAAATTAAGCGAAAAAATTAATTCATGAAAAAACACATGCAACATTGTTTTGCACCACACAAATATATTTTTTACAGAAGTTATGTTTGACTCACTTGCAGAATAACCATCTTCTTCTCAACAGTCTGATCTGCCAAAAATGTACCAACCGTGGATGGATATCGCAAACAACTTAACCCATTTGATTGAACGTCATCAGCTTCGTTGTGAAGTCAATAATGTAGGTTTTTAATTTACAACACCCGCGTTGCATGAATAGTGATGGCACTGGGCTTGTTTAGGAAATGCATACGGGTACAAAATGGAACAAAATCACATGTAAGCTAAATCACTTCTTCTGCGATGCTTGACTCCTTGTTTCAACTTTCTTTCACCTACTACATGAAGAAATCTTGCCAACAGTTCTTCACTTTATTACAACATAACCTGAAAAGTTCTCTTTACATTCCTTTCATAATTCAAATTAGCTAACAATGGAACTTCAGTTGGACTCTAAAACATGCTCCTTTACAGAAAAAGTATATTCAAGGGTGATGATCAACATAGACAGCAATGTGGAAGTGACAACATAAAAATAGAAGTAGACCATATATCCAAACAAACTGCCATCAATATGATCATGCTGAATTTTTGCCTGAACTCCACTAAATTGATATGGTGTCCATAATTGGTGATTCCAGAGAAACAAAACTCAGTCTGCCTCAGCTTTAAGTATACTTGACAGTGCAGCATCCACAACCCACTAGGGGTGGACAAAATTTGATCCGAGGCCACACTGGCTTTCAGGAAGACTGCCTCAGACACTGTGAAAAGGCACCTAGCGAGGATTCAGACAATGGTCTTCCCAGTGATGGCAAGTTGAGGGTCCTCAGTCATTCCCACAGTCCACTTTGTCTCCTTTCTTGAAGATGGTCAAGATGGCTGCATCCCTGAGATCAGCAGATTTGTCCCAGATTTTCAAAAACAGTTGATGGAGATGACGGGTAAGCTCTAGTTCTCTAAGTTTGAAAATTCCCACGGGAATCCCATCTACTCCTGTGGCTTTTCTATTCTTCATGTGTCCAATGGCAGCTTCAACTTCTGCTACACTATTTGGGACTCCAAGATCATTTTGTTTGGGAAGTTTGGGAATTTCCTCAAATACATCCTCATCAATGATTGTATTGCACTTTAGGAGTCTTTTTGAAGTGCTCTCACCATTGGAGGCTGATGTCTGCTTTGTCATTCAAAAGGATTCCATCCTTACTCTGCACTAGTGTGAGGTCCAGGATGTTGCGACCAAATATTGCCTCTGCAACACTGAAGAAACCTTGGTGGTCATGCTTGTCAGCAAGGAGTTGCAGCTCCTTAGCTTTCTCAATCCACCCTTAGTTCTTGATTTCCTTCATTCTTTTTTGTAACTCTGCCTTTGATGTGGTCATTCAGTTCTTTCTAGATTTCCTCCACTCCATTAAAATTAATTCTGGTGATTTTTGGTGAAGACATTTTCGGAAATTTACAAGTCTGCTTGGATCTTAAAGCTGCTCAACATTGAGCTTTTTTTCTGAACTGCTGTTTTGTCTTCAGCTGCTTCTGGTAGCAGTTGATAGACATTAAGAAATGGATAAAACCATAAGACTATAAGATATAGAAACAGAATTAGGCCATTTGGTTCATCAAGTCAGGTCCGCCATTCAATTACAGCATGCAATGAAATGCATCCTCCTGTCTTCTCCCCAGAACCCTTGATCCTCTAACCAATCAAGAACCTATCTATCTCTGATTTAAATACACTCAATGACTTTATCTCCACAGCCAGCTGCGGCAATGATTTCCACAGATTCACCACCCTCTGACTGAAGAAATCCTTCCTCATCTCACTTGTAAAGGGTTGTCCTTTCACTTTGAGGCTGTGCCCTCAGGTCCTGGTCTCTCTGACTGTGGAGACATCTTTTCTATGTCCAATCTACCCAGACCTCGCAGCATTCTGTAAGTTTCAATCAGATCCCCCTCATCCTTCTAAATTCTATTGAGTACAGACCCAGAATACTCAACCAGTCCTTACATGGTGAGTTCTTCATCCCCAAGGTCATTCTTGTGAACCTCCTCTGGACCACTTCCATGGCTAGCAAATCCTTCCTTAGATAAGGGCCCAAAGCTACTCAAGATATTTCAAACGCAGTCTGAGCAGAGCCTAATACAACCTCAGCAATACATCTCTGCTCTTGTATTCGAGTCCTTTTAAAATGAATACTAACATTGCATTTGCCTTCCTAACTGCCAAATGAACTTGCATGTTAACATTAACAGAGTCCTGAAGTAGGACTCCCAAGTCCCCTTATGCTTCAGATTTCCGAAGCCTTTCCCCATTTAGAAAATAGTTCACACCTCTGTTCTTCCTACCAAAGTGCATAACCTCACACTTTCTCACAATATACTCAATCTACTGCTTCTTTGCCTATTCTCCAAGCCTTTCCAAATCCTTCTGCAACACCCGGCTTTCTCAACAACCCCCTGTCCCTCCACCTAGCTTTGTGTCATCTGTAAACGTACTAACAACGCCCTCAGTCTTTTTCATCCAGGTTATTAATGAATAACATCTATAGTTGCGGTCCCAACTTTGACCCCTATGGAACTCCACTAGTCACCAGCTGCAGTCCTGAAAAAGACCCCTTTATTTCCACTCTCTGCCTTCTGCCAGTCAGCCAATCCTCTAACCATACCAGTACCTCACCCCTAACACCATGGGCTCTCATCTTATTTTGCAGCCTCCTGTGCAGCACTTTATCAAAGGCCTTCTGACAATCCAAATAGATGATGTGCACTGGTTCTCCTTTGTCTAACAGCTCCTCAAAAAATTCTAACAGATTTGTCAGACATGACCTTCCCTTGATGAATTGATGCTGACACATACCCATTTTACCATCCACTTCCAACTACCTTGCGATCACATCCTTAGTAATAGACTCCAAAATCTTACAAACGATTAGGATCAGGCTGACAGACCCATAGTTTCCTGTCTTGGTGTTTTGGTAGAACCATAGAAATGATACAGCACAGAAGGAGAGCATGTGGCTCTTCCTGTCCATGCCAACCCAAAGACACCAGATGCCCTTTCTAATCCCATCTTCATCCACATGGCCCACGGCACTGCAGCTTACAGCACTTAAAGTGCAGATCAAGGTACTTAATAAAAGAGTTTCTGCCTCCACCAGTAACTCAGGCAGTGAATTCTATACACCCATCACATCTGCTCTAAGCCTTCTGCCATTTCACTTGAATCTATGACCCCTTCTTTTATGAACTGTCTACTCCATCTTTACCACTCACAATTTGTATTCCTCAATCATGTCACTCCTCAGCCTTCTCTGTCAACAGAAAACAACCCCAGCCTCTCAATCTCACCCTGTGGCTACAATTCCAGTCCTGCCAACATTGTGATAAATCTTCTTTGCACTCTCTGCAGAGTAATTGTGTCCTTTCTGTAAAGTGGTGACCAGAACTGCACACAATACTCCAGTCTTAGCCTCACCAGTCTCAAATACAGTCTCATCATTACATCCTGCTTTTGTATTCTGTACCTCTGCCAATGGAGGAGTGTATTATATACACCTTCTTGACAACCTTATCGATCTGTACTGCTACCTCTAGGGATCTGTGCACTTGCATGGCAAGATCTCTCACGTCATCTACCCCTCTCGGTTCATTCACATTTATTGTGTGTTCTCTTTCACCGACACTTGACCAAAAGGTCAATGGGCTGAAAAATGACAGATGGAGTTCAATCTGGATTAATACAAGGTATTGCATTTTGGAATACAATTCACAGTAGAACCTTGCGTCATGCTGTAGAACAGAGGGAACTACGTAATTCTTTGAAGTTTTTGTCAGATATAGACAGGGTGGTTAAAAAGATGTTTAGCATGCTTGCCTTCATTGCTCAGTCCTTTGAGTATCAGAGTTAGGAAGTTATGTTGAGGTTCTACAGGGCATTGGCAAAGCATCTTCTGGAGTACTGTGTCCAGTTCTGGTTGCCCAGTTATAGGAAGGACATTATTAAGCTGAAGAGGGTTCAGAAGAGATTTACCATGATGTCACCAGATATGGAAGGTTTGAACTATAAAGAAAGGCTGGACTGTTTGACTGGAGCATAAGAAGTTCGGAGCTGACCTGATAGAAGTTTATAAAATTATGAGGGGTATAGAAAGTGTTAACGGTTAATCTTTTCCCTAGGATGGGGTATTTCAAGACTTGGAGGCACATCTTTAAGGTGAGGAGAGGAGAGATTTAAAAAAGACATGAGAACAATATTTTACAAAGAGGGGCATTCACGTGTGGAATGAACTTGCTGAGGAAGTGGTGAACGTGGGCACAATTACAGCATTTAAAAGACATTTGGATAAGTACATGCATAGGAAAGGTTTGGAGGGATATGGGCCAGGAGCAGGCAGGTGGGACTAGTTCAGTTTGGGATTATGTTCGGCATGGACTGGTTGGACCGAAGGGTCTGTTTCCTTGCTGTATGACTCTATGACTTATCAGAGTTGATCTCCATCTGCCACTTTCCTGGCCACTCCACCAATCCATCTATTTTATTTTGGAGCTTGCAGCTCTCCTTTAACCTATCCACTGCGTGGCCAATTTTTCTGTCGTCTACAAATTTCCCAATTGTGCCCCCATATTCAAGTCCAAATAATTAATGGACAATTAATGGGGTCCCAACACTGATCCCCATGGAACATCACTTGAAACAGCTTACCATTTGTAAGGGCAGCTATCGACCTTTGTTTCATGTTACTAAGCTAATTTTGGATCCCATTTGACACATTACCGTGTTCCCCAAGGGCTTTTACTTTTTTGACCAGTCTGCCATGTGGTACTATGTAAAATGCCTTACTAAAATCCATGTAGACAACATTCACTGCGCAGCCCTTTTTGATCCTCCTTGACACTTCCTCAAAGAGTTCAATCAAATTTTTAAGACATCACCTTCCACTCACACAGCCATGCCGACTATCCCTGACTAGTCCATGCCTTTCTAAGTGACAGTTTATCTGATATCTCAGGATTGATTCTGACAATTCGCCTATCACAAAAGACTAACTGGCTTCTAACTGTTTGGCCTTTCCTTTGTACTCTTTTTAAAAAATGGAACCGCATTTGCATTCCTTCAGTGCTCCAGCACCTCACTTGTGTCTAATGAAGATTAGAGAATAATCCTCAGAGCATCTGTTATTTCCTCCCTGACCTCCTTCAACATCCTAGGGAACAGTTCATCTGGCCCTGGTGATTCATTCACTGTCAAGGATTCCAACTCCTCTAAAACTTCCTCTCTCGTTGTAATTATTTTGTCAATATTTCACACTGGTCCTCTTGGATTACTATGTTGACATCATCCCTTTCCATTGTGAATACAGGGACAAAAAGTTCATACATGCTCTGTATCTTCGCACAAATTTCCTTCTTCATCTCTAACAGGTAGGCTTTTTCCTTAAATATCCTTTTGCTCTTTATATAATGCTAAAATATTTTGAGGTTTCCCTTTATCTTGCTTGCTAATATTTTTTCATGCCCTCTCATGGATTACCTTATTTTTTTTTAACTTGATCCCTATGCTCCTCTTGGCTACTTGCTGTGTTGAATTTTCTGTGACTGTCCTAAACCTTCATTTTCTGTAAAATCTTCCCCCGTATTTTCCAGAGAACCATTCTTATTTTGCAGGGGACATGTTTGCTTTACGCCCGAAAGATCTCACTTTTTAATGCTTCTCACAGATTTACCACTGATTCTTCCTTTAGCAGTCCTGTCCAGTCCACCACAGCCAAATCACTTCTCAGTTCTGTAAAATTAGTTAAAAACTTGTAGTCATCATTTATCTCTGTCTTTTTTCATCATAATACTAAATCTAACTGAATTGTAGTCATTATCCCCAATATGGTTTCCCACAATCATTTCACCCACTTCCCCATCTTCCCAAAACCAAATCCAAAATTGCATCTCCTTTCATGGGGCTTGAGACGTATTGTTTTAAAAAATTCTGGGACCAAGTACATGAACATTTCACCCTTAATGCCCATTATATTGCTTGAAACCCAGCTAATATTGAGGTGGGGTTAAAGTCTCCTACTGTTATTGCCCTCTTATTCCAACAGGCATAAATTTGTCTACATAAATGTTCTTTATCTTCCTCTCACTATTTGGAGGTCTGTAGTAGACTCCTAGTAATGTGACTGCCCCTTTTCTTATTCCTAAGCCCAACATATAAAGCCTCATTTGTTAACCTGTTTAGTTTCTCATCCCTTCTTATGAATGTAATGCTTTCTTAACCAATATTGCTACACCACCTCCCTACTTTTCCATCATCCAGTCTATCCCCTGAAAACTCCACTTCCAGGGATAGTGAGCTGCCAATTTTACCCCTCCTTGAGCTAGGTTTCTGTTAGAACAACGACATCATACTGCCACATGTCTATCTTTGCCGTTAGTTAATCTGCCTTGCATTGAAAGATAAACAGTTCAACTGCATCAATTTCCTTTGTTGGATACTTTTTAATCATTGTTTCTTTTGGCTTTCTGAGTCACTGACTATATCACTAACTCACTACCTCCTGTTTCCTGATCTGAATCTGATCCATCTTAGCTACACTTTGGTTCCCATCCCCTGCCATACGAGGTTGAAATCTCTCCAACAGGATAAGCAAAAGGTCCCCTGAGGATCTTTGTCCAAGCTCTGCCCAAGTGCAACCCATCAGTCTTGTATAGGTTCCACTTTCCCAGAAATGGTCCAAATGCTTCAAAATTCTATACTGCTCCCTGGTGCACCATTTCTTCAGTTGCGCATTTGTCTGATCCAACCTCTTATTCCTACTCTCACTAATGCATAGCTCTGGGAGTAATCCTGAGATGACTACATTTGAGGTGCTGCATTTTAATTTGTCTCCTAACTTCCTGTATCCAACTTTCAGATCCTCATCCCTTTGTTGACCTATGTCATTGGTACCTATATGCACACTCCCATTCTAGAATGTCCTCCAGCTGCTCCATGACATCTCTGACTCTGGCACCAGGAAAGCAACACACCATTCTAGATTGAGGTCTGTGCCCACAGAAATGCTGTCTGTACCCCTTACCATTCAATCTCCTATCAATGCCACTCTTTTTCCTCCCCTTCTTTGCAGCAGAGTCACCTGTGGTGCCAAGTACTTGGCTGATGATACTTTCCCTAACAGTTTCAAAAACAGTCTATCTGAAAAGGAGATGATGACAGGGGACTCCTGCACTCCCTTCCTGGGCCTTTTACTTTGTTCCTTTTCTGTCTGTGTAATTCCATCCTGTGCTATGACAGCCTTGTTAAACATGCTATCCATGACATTCAGCATCACTGATGCTCCGCAGCGAGTCTGTGCACAGCTCCAGGTCCAAAAAACAGTTAGCTGGTCACTGCAGCTGGACACACTTCTTTCACACGTAGTTGTCACGACACTGAAAGCAGGAGAAACGACCATGGATCTGAAGTTTCATGTCATACTTCTCTCTCGATTAAGCTAGTTACTTTAAGAGATTTTAATTAAGCTAAAGACCTTCCTTTGTTTGAAACACTTCTATTACAATCGAAAGGCCCTACCTTAATTTAAGCTTCTTTTATAAATTGTAAGAAAATATTGTGCAGGTATCACAGCAATTGGCTGTTTCCATTGGGACTGTGTCACTTTCTGAACCACCTGAACTGAGATTGAGCACTGTACTCATTCTTTCAGCTTCACCTATTCCCTGTCTCACCTAACTCCCTGTTTTCACAGGAACATATGAACTTGGAGCAGAGTAGGCCATTCAGCCCCATTTGTGGCCTCAACTCCACATTTGTACCTATTTCCTGATATCCACTGACTCCCTTGTTCATCATGAATATATCTGCTTCTGTCTTAAAAATATTCAACAAACTCTCCTTCACTGCTTTCTGGGGAAGAGCATTCCAAATTCCCTCACATTAACACTTAACATGATGCCCTTGCTGTCATACCTTTTGTCATCAATTCGACTGAAGAGTGGAAATTAAATTTGGTCTTGGGAAATACTTAGGGATACTGCTTAGCGATATTGTTTAATTGCCCTAGATGAGCAAAATAATTGACCATTTCAGTCTCAATCTCTGCCTAGTGGACACTTCCAACCATTAAAGTCTGGACAGAATATGCAGAGATTGGAATCAGATGGATCTTGTTGACTGTGAGATGCTTGATTGGGATTGTTAACCTGGGGCAAACAGGAAAGCCCTGGCTGACCAATATCAATAGGAGATTTAGAATCTCCTCAGTTTGGGTGATTGATTCTGAGCTGGCTGGCCGCAGCTAATGGACTGTGCACAAATAAATAAGGAGTGACTTGATAATGGCCTCTGAACAGTTACTTCAGTGGCAATGGGAGAAAACAGGATGTGCCTGAAGAACATTTGCATGCAACAGTCATCGTGGAGTTGGAGTAAGCAATTCTGGCATCACGCCTTTATTTTGGAAACTTGACTCATTTGGCTCTGCTGACCAAGACTGGGCCCAGTATGTGGAAGGAATGTGGTATTTTTTCCAGGCAAATGACACTGGGGCAGATGAACAGCAATGAATAGTCCTCCTGACCGCTTATAGACCCTCAACATTTTCAGTTATAAGGGGCTTAACTTTCCCAGACACTAAAACCTTCCAAGAGTTGACTGGTTTGGTGAAGGAATATACTACCCCAAACCACCTCTAATTCTGAGATGCTATCAGTTTTATTCAGCTGTTAGAGAACCAGAGGAATCTGTATCAGGATTTCTGACAAGGTTGACACGACTGTACAGAGGCTAATATCAAGTCACCCTTTATTTACCAATGGACGGTACACTGGCTGTGGCCAGCCAGCTCAGAGTCAGTCCCCTGAACTGAGGAGATTCTAAATCTCCTGGTTATATATTTTTCTTTCCCTCAGGGCAGTGACTTGAAAGAAATTCAGGGAATTACATATATGTATTAACCAATTAAAACATTCTAACTGATTAAAGATTTAACAGCATCTTAGGTTTGTTTAATATATCCTCAGCAGTTGTGTGACCCTTTGAACTTTTCCTTATAAATTCAGTGTTGTGTGTGTTTCTTTCTCACTTCACCTGATGAAGGGACTACACTCCAAAAGCTTGTGTTTTCAAATAAACCTCTTGGACTATAACCTGGTGTCATGTGTTTTCTGACATTTTTTAAATGACTGACTCAATATTCCCTAAGTTACTCAGTTACCTGTGAATATGCTCCAATAAAGCCAGGAAGCAGCCAAGACCATGTTGTGTTCCACTTGAAATAACCGCACAGAGGCCTGTTCCCATCTCCTGGTTATATTGTCAGCCAGGGCTTTCCGGATTGGCCCAGGTTAACAACCTCAAACAAAGATCGCAGAGTAAATAAGATTCACCGGGTTCCAATCACTACATCCCTCACCCCGCCCTCAGTCTGGGGATGTAGGCCTGGTCTTCTAGCTTTCTCTGCAATGTCTTTGCCCGGGTCCAGTACCTCTGACTTGGACTCTGAAACAGGCAGTGTGTATGGGACCATAACCCCGTCTCTTGCCTCCAGAGCATCTCGGGAGAGTTTCCTCCTCTTCTTCCAGTGGTAATGGTATCAATGCTGCATCCATCGTGGACTCCGAGATTTCCTCAGCACTAGACAGAGAGGGAGAACCTACAGTTTCTGACATACCTCCAGCTGTTCTGAGGGGCCAGGTATTATGTCTTCCTCCTGCAACGTTTGTGAGGTTACAGCTTTCAGGTGATCCATGTGTTTGTTCAAGACTGCATCACCTGCCCAAACTTTGTAAGTCTTGGGAACTGACCTCGTGTCAATCTTGCCTCATACCCATACAGGGCCATTCCCATGGTTCCTGCACCAAACTTCATTCCCCGAATTAAATTGTCTCTCTTGCTTAGAGGCATGTGGCTGGCATTGGCTCTCCTGCTTCCATTTCAGAATAAGTGTCACTTTAGATCAAGTTTATGATCGATTGCTTGATGACAGTTGATGAATAAGCTCACAAGTAAGTTAGATCCAGGGTGGGTTGCTATTCAGGAGCACATAGGTAGGGGAACAGGTTTCAAACATGCTATTGGATGAGGTGGGCTGGGTGGATGTCTATTTGACTCTTGAATTACATTCCTCTCCACTCTTTGGTTTAACAGATGCAACTCCTGACCACAGACTTTCTCAGCGGGTATAAACAGCTACGGTTGGCACACCTGGCACTCAGCTTTATTACGATGGGCTATGTGTGGCAGGAGGGAGAACACAACATTGCAAAGGTTTGAATTAATATCTTTCATGTTAATACTCAATTCGAAGTCAGTCTATGGTCAGGTCTGGCAGTGAAACTGCTTCACAATCTTTCAAATGTCTAACAAATGTGAACCTTAAGTAGTTGCCACATTTCATTAAACACAGAAATTGTCTGGAAGAATGGAAATAAACAAATTGGGAGAAGCAAAACATGCAGAAATATATGCTTTACCGAGGCCTTGCATTTTCTTGTCTTCATACTTTCCTTCCACTTAATTTTGCCTTCCTTTCTCTGGGCAGAACAATAGGTCAATGATTTGCTCAGAGAACTCTTCAAATCTCCTTTCAGGCTGTAGAGAGATTACGACGGGTGGCTTAGAACAAGTCCTGATCCAAACAACATTTGTTCTTCGGATAGATCTCAAACTCATAATATCATCAACTCTCTTAATGTTTTCATTGAATGAGGTTTGTATGTCTTATGAGATGATGTTGTTCAGTCGGTTTTCTTGTGACAGGCAGCATCCAGTCTGATTTTCTGTGCCCGGGAATGAAACTTTGCAAAGGACTCTTTTAAGCACTGTTTCCTCACTAATGATCAGAACATCGGAGTCTGTTCACCAATTTGAGATACATGTCAATGAATGAAAGCATGAATTTACAAAGCAACATTGTTTGGGTTCATCTAGCAAACTAGAGATAAGGAATCTCAATTTGTCAAATTGTAAAATGAATTTAATAAAATGATAACTTGTGCAATCACAAAATGAAAATGAATCATGGGAGTCACCAAATTTCTCAGCAAATTCAACACTGTCACGGAAGGAAGATTTTCCTGTGCTTGGGAGGTGATGGCCTAGTGGTATTATCGCTGGACTGTTAATTCAGAGACCTAGATAATGTTCTGGGGACTTGTGTTCAAATCCTGCCATGGCAGATGTTGGAATTTGAATCCAATAAACATCTGGAATTAAGAGCCTAACTATGACCGTGAATCCATTGTTGATTGTTGGATTGTTCACAAATATCCTTCAGGGAAGGAAACTACCATCCCTACCTGGTCTGGCCTACATGTGACTCCAGACCCACAGCAATGTGGTTGACACTTAACTGCCCTCTAGGCAATTAGGGTTGGGCAATAATTGCTGCCTATCTGTGAGGCTCTCATCCCATTAATGAAAAAAAAATGATTCCAATTCTTAACCTTGTGGTTGATCCTTAATGAAATGGTTGAATAAGCAATTGAATTGCTGGAAGAACATTTTTACCACCAGAGGGCAAGTCAAGCTTATGAATTTTTACTGTTCTTCATACTTAACTTTCTAGCTTTTTATAATTATTTGTTGATTTCTGAATGTTTTTGTGCATGTTTTTCTAATATGCCCAGTTTTATAAAATCCAGTACTAAGCTGGAAGTGAAGTGAATGCTGCCTTCCTTACATGACAAATTAAGGAGTCACAAACTTGTCATGATATCTGCATCTGTATCACCAACTTAATTTCTTCACTGAGACAACAAGGTGCAGGGCTGGATGAACACAGCAGGCCAAGCAGCA